ACATGACCGTTCACACAGCAGTCGCTTTCTGAAACATCGGATATGTATCGGATTCAGTACCAAATACGAAAGTGACCCAGATTGGATTTGAAAATATCGGATTTGTGCCGTTTGTGCCACACTGTCATACCATGATCGGATATGGGTCGCATAGGGTCAAAAAATTTGATGCGCTTTCGCCTGCAGTGTGAACGTAGCCTAACTGTCAAGCATGGTGATGGAAGGGTGCTGATTTGGGGTTTTTTCGCTGCCACTTGACCTGGACAGTCTGCAGTCAGTGAGGTATTCGAGACTCACATGTGAGTCAAGACTCACACTGTGGCAAATTAGGTCATGCAACAGGACAATTATCCCAAGCACAACAGCAAATCTACAAAAGAAAGGAATCAAGGTGTCACAATGACCCAGTCAAAGTCCAGACCTCAAACCAAACCAGCAGCAAACCTCAGTGGACTGAAACGATGTGAAGCAGAGTGGTACAAAATTCCTCCACAACGAGAGACTGATAGAGTCATACAGTAAATGAATGTCAAGGTGTCGTTACCAAATGCAGTTCTAGAAGCTGTTAAATCATGGGGTGTAATTACATTTTCACAGGCCAGCATATAGTCCTTTTCACATGACTGTAATTTGCTTTACATTTGTTCCAAATGCACTAATAAAACACTATTTAAACTCTCACATGTCAGGGACGCAATCATTTCAATTCTTATCAGATCTGTGATATTCAAAAAAGAAAGTGAGGGATGTATTAACAAAAAATAAGCTGCTATTATGAACACAATTTTATCTAAAGCAAGAATCAGATCAATACGTGTAACTGGGCATGAGGCGCAGATTAAGTCTGATTTCACTGACGTGTGAAGTCCCAGCTCATTAAGGCTCAGAACCAAAAGGAAGAAATGTACTAGATTGGAAATTCTTTGCAAATTAAAAATAGCATCCAAAAAGCATTTTCAGTTTCAAGAAAATCTTAAGTTGTCAATATGTTCTAAGTTTGTGTATTGCTTTCATATCCAAGACATATTCCAAAGACCTCTTTATAAACTCACAGTCCATGTTCAACCCTTTCAGCTGTTTTAGATTCATGCCTGTCATCGTTCTCTCGATCCCCCGGATGGATCTTTTAATTATCGCTAAACCCTTAAACGAACGTATGCAAGACAGAAAGTGCCAGAGGGAAAACAGGGTTGCCCTCCCTTCTTCCTTGCCCCCTCCTGCTCTACGTGTCCTCCCTGCTGCGTTTGTAGTGATGGCGCTTCCCAGTGCAGGTTTTCCTCTCCTGAGCTGATCAAAGCTACAAGTTACACAGTGTCAGGCACAGAGAAGCAGGAAGAACTCTGTCTAGGTCCTCTTAATACCAAATACAAGGCAGGAAGACAAACAAAAGTGAACTTTGCCTCAAGAGTTTGTTAAACATCCTCCGCTATGCTTATAAGTGCACTCTGTACTGTTAGTGTTTATGTGAGAGAATAAAAAGAGAGAGGAAAAAAAATTGAAATGAGTGCATGCACCGATGGAAGAGCTTCAAAGGCTTTATGGTTTGGAATAAGAGTTGGATTTAGCGCATGTGGAGCATGCTGCAGGCTACAATTTCTGGTTTAGGGTTTGTTTTACTGTCTGTCCCGTAACATGACTCAAAATCACCATTAAAGGTACTTCACCAGAGGAAGGAAGA